TCATTATTGTTTTTATTATTCCATCCTTATTGTATTTTGTGAAAACGAAATAAAATTGTACCGGTTTATCTTTAAAATTGAAGGACTTCAGCCATGTGCACGAAAATATCAAAAAATGAAATAAAAATACAAATCGAATATCTTTAGCGTGGCTCATGATCATAAATAAAGATTATAACATGACATGATATTCCGGGAGATTCTCTTTTTTGGGAAATTGGCCACTAATCACGTTCATCTCTTAAATGCTCTATCATTTCTCTTGTCTTAATACTATTTTTTTAATTATATTTAATATCAAATCAAATCAAAAGAGACAAGGAAAAAATAAAACGTAAAACAACTTTACACCCTTTTTCATTAACTTTCTCCTATTTAAAATTAGAAAAAAAACAAACTTTAACCACACTTTCCACACTATAAAGCTAAAAACGCACTTAATTTCTAGTGTTAAAATCATACCATAATAATAAATATCTACTTATTTAAGTGGAATATATTTTATTTTATAAAAAGAGAAATGAAAGAATTCAAACCTCGTGTGACCAAAAAAAAAGAAAGAAAGAATTCAAACCTCGAAGGTGAGTGAAGCAAGACCCTTTTGGCGAAGAAGAGTGTAACGAGTGTTAGGAACCCAAGAGTGAATCAAACAAGCTAGAGATTGCCACATGTTTGTACTCAATGAATCTCCAACGAACATTATCTTCTTCCCTCTCATTTTCCTCAAGAAATACAATCCATTGAATCTGAAACCAAGAAGGATACATTTCAATTCCATTTATAAAAAAAAAAAAAACATTACTTTCAAAGATTAAAAATTTTGAACTCTTTTTTTGTCACAAAAATTTGAACTCTTTATTTACTTAATCAAGGACATTTTGATTTGTGCTTCGGATCCTCTTTTTTTTTTGGGAGAGTGAAATCTATGGGATATTCGAGACATTATTGCTCCAAAGCAACTAACAAAAGTTTCAAATTTTGAAATACAAAAAGGCAAAAAAAAAAAGTTGAAACAACAGTAAGAGAGAGAATGTATTACTCACAACTCACTCTATCAAACTTTGAAATTCACTTTC